AGTTTGATCGTCGGATCGGCCGCTGCAGCATGACTTCGGGTTGTGTTTCTCCCCACCGTTGCAACCTAAACCGACTACCCCCACTCAAATGATTGAGAGGACTTGGGTATTTACTGCAGGGCATGAATTGGTCTGAATCGGCCCTAAGGCAGCCTTTTGTGGTGGGAATACTGGTCAAATATTACTTCAGAAAAACAATCAAAATCAATCAAATCAAGACTAAATTGGACGTTTCACATACTGTATCTTTCACTTACTTGAGACCAAAAAAAACAGATCTTCCTTTTTTAAAATCATCTTTGCAAATGTTTTTATGAGCAACAAATATATTCATGATGTTTGTTTGGCCTCAAGGACACCATACTTTTGTGAGAAACACTGAACGTATGTACATAACTGTTTACAAGAAAATCTACCTTTAATGTTTCCTCCTTTAGTCGCTGCTCCAAACATTAGACGAGGAAAAAATAAACAACTTCTGCTTTTATGGGCAGGAAAAAGGTAGGACTATTTGAATGGAATCCATTCATTCAAAGATTAAATGGAGCCAGAAACTAGCAGCCATGAGTGGTATTGTACTTAACCTAGCATAGACAAATCACACTGCTGCTTCCAAGAGTTACAGAAAAAGGCAAAACAGCTATAGCACAGTGGCTCAGAGAGTTTTGGGTGGTAGAGCAGAGGTTTCAGAGACTCTCATACTCAGTGATTGCACTTTACACTATATGACAGAATGTTTATTTACAACTAGCCTTAAGTAAACTCCTGTGTCAAATTATAATTTCCTCTTGTTTAGTAAATATTTTACACAAGGTTAAATTTAAAGAAACAACTTTTTAAATTTTCATCCGTTCCTCCAGGCCATTTCTCCAGTAAATCCATCACAGTTGGACATGCTCTTGATTGGCTCCCCTGAAATCCTTCAAATCAGGTCAGTTTGCAGTTTTGAACTGGAGAGGTTTCACCTTAGCAGGTATACCTCAGTGGAATTATCGGTGCTTCTGTCAGGGTCTGTTCTGACTGTGATGTCTTCAAAGTCACTGAGTAAAACTCTTTGAACAGAGCCATGTTAGTGGGTATGTTATTTTCACAATATCACAGATCAAGATATAGAGAAGACTTGATTATTTATGTTTGGTTCTCCTCAAGTAAGTGATGAATCACTTCATGTCCTCTTGTGTAAAATGACCATATGGCCACAATAGCAGAGCACAGGACAGCACACAGGTCATCTCTGTCCTTGTCTCAGTGTGTCACATGATCCTCACAGACTGTTTGGTCCTCCTCATGGCCGTCACCATGATAGTTTGTCGGAGCCAGCGGAGGTGACGTACTGCTTGTTGAGCTTCTCTCATTGGCTGCGCAGTTTCGAGTCGTCTGTAACTGAAAACAGTGGTGGCTCGCCTGGTCACACATGATCACGTGTTACAGCTACACTAAAATATATTGCTAAAAGCATTTTGGCTGAGAAATAGGCAACGCAGTAGGGGTGGGTAAAAATATCGATTCATCAATGCATTGCAATATATTTTTTCCCAATTCAATATCGATTCATTAAATCCTCTGAATCGATTCAAGCCCCTGGCCAGTGGGGGCGCGGTGAGCAACACCTTTGTGTGATTTGCGTTGTACGGATGGAGGCCTTCAAAAGCAGACGTTTGGAGTCATTTTGGATTCCAGTGTAAACCCGGAACACAGGAAATAGACAAAAGTAAGGTAGTGTGTGAGCTGTGCCAGGCAGTACTAAATACTGCAGTAACACAACAAATTTGCGCAACCACTTAAGCCGACATCATCCAGATGCTCTGCAGCAACCTGCGGCTAAACCTGTGGATTCAAAACAGACGCAACTTGACAGATCCTTCCTTTGCAAACTGCCGCCAAACTCTGCCCGCGCACAGAAGATAACGGAGTCTGTGGCCGTCTTCATATGTAAGGACCTACAACCGTACAGTGTGGTGGAAAACAGGGGTTTTAAGAAGATGGTATACACACTCGAACCACGATACGCCATACTAACACGCAAACACATGACGGAAGTCGTCCGTCCCGAAGCTGTAATTCTACTCATTACTGAATCGATATCGAAGCATTTACATCAATATCGAATCGAAACGTTATCGAATTGAATTGTGACCTAAAGAATCAAAATCAAATCGAATCACGAGGTTCTTAACAATACCCAGCCCTAAAGCATACCCTGCTTTAGGGTCTATTTTACTTTAAATGGGACCATAATTTACTAAATGAACATCATGCTGTATGGAAGACTTGAAACTAGAGATTAAGACCATAAACTTATTAGGAAACTGTTTACTGAGCTCATAAATCAAGTCAAAAGTAGGCCCATTTCTCCATTAGAGTGAATGGTATTGGTTTTTATTGCAGCCAGTGGAGCTCCCCGTGCGGGCCTTTACATAGAATGCAGGTTTAAGACACTTCTGCACTGGCTTCACTTCACAGACCCAGAAGCTCTGTCCATTATATACACTGTCAATGGGTCAGGCATTTCCGGTCATTAACTTTTTACTGTAGCAGCTAAAATAACAACTCATTGGACAACTACGGCTTCGAGTCTTCCATAATAACTGGTTAAAAAAATTAAAGTTTAGTCACATGCTTCATGTATGTCATTGCTTAATTTGATAAGCTTGTTTCCATTGCACTTTGCAGCATTGCTTTTATTGATACACCAACCTTTCCACCTCAACAGAGCATAAACATTTTATTTTGACTTTTCTTTCCTAAAATCCAACTCAACAACTTTCAACTCAGTTATTTAAATGTACAAATTAATTCATTCATGAAACACGTCATCTGTAGCAATTGGGCCTACCTCTAGGAGATCTCTCAGTCCCCCAGTAATAGTTGCTCTCTGCAGCTTTGTGAAAAGCTCTCAAGAGCAAACTATGTGTGAGGAACTTTTAGGGCCATTTTAGTGGACTCATAGTGGTAAGATGAATGAAGTGAGTGAGTGAATACAACCCCAGGGCTTTAAATTTGATTGGTACACAGTAGGAAGGAACATGTTTGCTGTGCACCATGCAGGGACTTGTCACATGTATTAGTCAGTCTGCTACTTAAAGCTGCAACAATACGTTTTCAACAGGTTATGAAACAGTCTCAATTTATTTCTGATGCCTCTATATGACCTACATCCCATTTTTATAGTTATTCTAAAGGCCTGTCACTGGGTACGATTCCCTGCAAAATTAGACAAAGTGTTTTTCAGCATGCAGACTGTAGACCTGCAGACGTTACCTGATCAGTAGACATCTTCGGAGTCTATCTTTGCCTGTTCGATGTCCGAGCTTCCATCCCACTGAACATGTGTGTTTTCAGTGTGTTTTTTGCTATTTTTAACTCTTTTCTTACTTTCTTACTACTTTGTTCACGTCACCTAAATACTTTTTTGGCATTTTTCAGCACGTTTTATTTTTTGTTTGCACGGGTCTCCATGGCGATGGGGAGTCGCATTGTTTACACCCGCAACCAAATGATTGCCCTGAGGCACCCGAGCATCCTGATTGGAGAGAGACCCTCCATACCGGAGGAGCTGAGGAGGAGACTGCAGAGCGGGGGTTAAACGGAGGATGAAGAAGAGGAAGTTTAAACTCTACATCCCTGCAGTCATCACTGGAAACAAACGTGGCTACCTGAGCAGATACTGGACTCCAATGTCACCATGCCCGGCTTCCAGACGGTTCGAGCCGACAGGGACACCACCACGAATGGCAAGAAGAAAGGAGGGGGACTTGCCGTGCTCATAAACAACAGGTGGTGTAACCCCGGGCACGTCCGTATGAAAGAGCGTCTGCAGCCTGGACATCGAGCTTGTTGCCGTCGGACTTCGTCCATATTATCTGCCACGGGACCTTTCCAGTGTTATTGCCATCACTGTCTATATTCCTCTGTCTGGGAAAGCAGAAGCAGCGTGTGACGTCATCCACACTGTGACTGCAGGACTACAAACGAAACACCCGGAGGCTTTCATCATCATCACCACAGGGGCCTTCATCATCATCACAGGGGACTTCAACCATGTTTCTCTCTCGTCCACACTCCCAACCTTCCACCAGTTTGTCACATGCACCACCAGAGACAATGAGACCTTTGACCTGCTGTATGCAAATGTTCCTGTTTTTTATATCTGTATTTATTTCACTCAAATGTTGCTGTGACAATTGAATTTCCCCATTGTGGGATTAATAAAGTTATCTATCTATCTATCTATCTATCTATCTATCTACCGGTATACAGGGGGGAGGGGATCAGGCCGTGAGTGCAGAGATGCAGAGCCGTATATAGAGACGGCTCTGGTGAGTGGTATTTACGACAGCTAACGTTAAATACAAGTACTCCGCAGCAACTCTAGGGGTAGCTGTTTGACAAAAACCGGAAAACTGCATAGTATGCCTTTAATGCCAATTAGATGCTCAAGTCTCTGTAAAAGAATATTATGGTCAATGGTGTCAAATGCAGCACTAAGATCTAATAATACAAGTACAGACACAAGTCCTTAGTCTGAAGCAATCAAAAGGTCATTATTAACTTTAACCAGAGCTGTCTCTGTGCTGTGATGACCTTTAAAAAATCCTGACGGAAAATCCTCAAATAAACTATTGTTAAGTCACACAACTCTTTGGCGACTACTTTCTCCAGAATCTTAGAGAGAACGGGGAGGTTAAAGTCAGACACTTTTAATAAGCAAAATAGAATTAGCAATATCGAAATACTATTCAAAACTTAAATTGTCTCAGGTCTCTAAAATTCCTAGTTCTTCTCTAAATATGATTTCTCTGTACTCATCAGACTCAGATCAAATATGGTACTTAACTAAACTCTAAACAAAACAGTGGGCCCGCCCACACACACACACACACACACACACACACACAAAAACAATAAAAGTTGCAGGCCTGTGTGTTGCTCGGTGTGGTGTGGCAGGCAAATCCTTATCCTCAGTGGCAATTAACAGTCACACAGAAAATCCAACTCACGGTCTGGAATAAGTCCTGGAGAAACAGTTCATGAAGAGATGGAGAAGAAAGCCAACGGCAGCAGAAGCAAAGTCCTCCTCAGGAAGCGCGAAACAGTCCTTCCCGTTCAGCAATGGCGTCCTCTTGGCTAGCAGCTCGCTTGCTTTAGCTCAGTTAGCACAGTCACTCTGGCAAAACTCAAGCGTCCTAATCCACTGTGTCCAAATTACTGTCCTCAGCTACAGCTTCTTCTGTTACTGAAACATTCAGCAAACTATCTACCAAAATGTCATTACTTCTTAACTTTACTTCAGCTCCACAGTTCTCTCTATTTTCTCTTCTCTCCTTCTCTTCGATTCTCCCGTCTCTCTTCTTGTCGCTTTTTTTCTTCCCGCCCCTTTTTCGCTCACTCCCTTACCTATGGCCAATTACCAACAGGTGACACTGAGTGACATATACAGCAACCAATTAAATGAAACAGCATGAACCAATGACACAAAAAATATTCATGTTTGGTTTACCCCACACTTTTCTTCAGCTGCTATAGAACAGTTTAATGTAACTACTTAATGAACTATTTACTCTGCTTTATTTATTATGAATTTATGTTAATCTCTCGGTTAACATTTCATCTTTCACTGCTTTTAACCTAAATTACTTTCAGTTTACTTGCATTACTGAATTATTTAATTAAATAATTGAAATAATTATTTGTATTACAAATGAACTTGTTTTAACCCCTTGTACTTTTACACCCAGCTACAAATACATGTTGGCTTTACACACATTACAAGTTGCTGTCTTGCTTTTCTGTGTTTTGAGGCTAAAATATCTACAAACTAAGGACATGTTGAGTGAGCCAACTATTTCTAGCTCACTCAGTTGCAGATTGTGTCTTGTTAAATCTGTGTTTAGCATGCAGTGGCATCTAGTGAGGAAGTTGCAGATTGTAACCATTTGGATACAGCTCAGCCTTCCAAGTGCGTTGGGGAAACTACAGTGGCAGCAAAACGCGTGAAAAAACACGAATGGCCCGATGTAGAGCCTGTGTTTGGTTTGTCTGTTCTGGGCTACTGTAGAAACATTGCGGTTCAACATGGCAGCATGTGGGGAAGAGGACCTTCTCCCTCTGTGGATAACATTGGATCATTAAGGTAACAAAAACACAACTATTAATATTTTCAGGTGATTCATGAAAACATACCTATGAATATTATATTCAATTTCTGCAAATAGATCCTCCTCAATGTTAGACACTGGACCCTGGAAGATACAGGGAGTTTATGGTCCAAGCTCAGCCTGCTTGTGTGACTCATAAAATTCTAGGTGACAAAATATGGGGACTACTGGATATCTTTGTAGAACTATTATCAATAATTGGGCTATGGGCTCAAAATCAAACTATTGCATATCCATAAAAATATTGGTCATGGAATCTGGATTGGTACGTGGATCTGTGTGGAGTATCACCCAATATAGCTATTGGATCAGTCCCATGTTACCTAGGTGTACAGTACTAAACAAAGTTTACTTTGTTGAACATTGTCATATTGCCATTATTAATCTTACATAGCCACAAATAGATGCACTGAAAGTTCCCTCTTCCTCCCTGCTTTAAACTAACACTGATTTTTTAGGCACTGTGCTTCCATATATAGACTGCAATAGGCAAACATTTAACTCTGCTGCAATTGTAAGAATAATTCTTATATTTCCAAAGCATTTTCTGCATGAGTGCACACAGCTGAAAGCAGCATCACATAAAAATGGACTTAAACACAACACTACGTCAAATGCAACCCAGCAATGATCAAACAGTGCAATCCAGCTCGGTAAAAACCAAGACATATACATCCAAAGCAATAAGCTTGCCACATGGCAAGCCATAATGCTTGCTTTTGTTCCAATCTCTCTGGCTTGCAAAGGGAATACAAAATGTCAGGCCAAATATTCCTCAAACAACAGAATAATTACAGCAGCACCAGGAACAGCAGGGGGCCCGGCTTGGTCTTTCCCCCCCAAACAAAGCAACAACAGAGAGATCAGTGGCTCTCCTGATGAGGTGGCAGCACTCAAGACACAAGGTATAAACACTACAGGAATATATTAACTGCTGCCTCTGCACATTAAACCATGGCTGTAAAAACACATTGCACACACTCATTAGCCTGTGTTATGACATTACACCTCGGATGGGATTTTGTCTTATAGGACTGACAGAATCTGACAAAATAAATTTAAACTATATGAGAGTCAGCCTTCAACATGCAGCTACAATCGTTCCAGCACCCAGTAGCCGTCTGATGAGGCAAAAAAAATTATTTTGATCTCTTCTTCATCTTATCTGCCCTGGCACTGCAGTCTTGGCATTCAGTTTGAAGTGTGTAGAGCAAGTCTCGCAGCAAAGTAATTGTTGTTGCCAATACTCTCATATAGCCCTGGAGAAGGCTTTCATTGGCCGAGGCCTATAATCACTGAAGCATGCAGGCACAGTGCATGTGGAATTAGACTGCTATCACAAGCTCCACGGGCCACTCCAGCATGATGATAATCAAACATCTAATCAACCAGGTCGTTTGGAGATGTAATATTAAATGATCAAGATTAGTGCACAGGCATTGGGAGCTGTAGAGCGAAGAGAGGATCAGCAGCTGTGTGGATTTCACTGAGACCAGCTGAGAACAGTCTAGGTGAGATCCATACTGAGATAGCATTGGCCAACAATGTGTTGATAGTAGATTCCATGCTAACTACAGCAATAACTACTCTATGTTTAGACAGCCGCTTTTAGCTGTCCATCACCACAGTGGCAGGTGCTTGTGTGTTAGAGTGGTGCCAGTATGGCAGATATAATATATGGAAGAATTAAAATGCCTAAATAACGAAAAAATAATGTGAAATAAATAAAAATTGCAATATGTATTTTATTTTTATGTATTAATTTATTGTGGCATGTGGCATCTAGAGGTATAGTTGCAGATTGCAACTCACTTGCTTCACCCTTGCTTCATCTAGAGCTAGTGGTTGTTTTGCCCCTTCTGGGCTACTGTAGAAACATGACTGCCCAAAATAAAGGCCTCCACAGAGGCGACCCACATCTATAGATAAAAACATCTCATTCCAAGGTAGCGAAATCGCAACGATTGTTATTTTCCGGTGATTATAAACTAATGAAAACCTATATACACCTATGGAATTATCTATTCCATTTATAGATAGATAGATCCTCCTAAATGTAACACACCTCTAAGTAAAAGAATATGTTAAGAAAATAAGTAGTTAGCATTTAGTATGCTATAGCTGAATCAATTATTTTTCATTGTGACATGAATGTTGTTTGCCACACTAAAATCAAACCACAACACAGGAAACAAAGTGAAGAGATGCACTGCATTTCAGAGAGCTGCCCCTACTAAATACAAAGCATTTCTCCTTTTTTGAGATAGAGACTTATCAGCCGTGCCAAAATGAAAAACAACTAGAGGCATTAGGCATTTTTAATCTTCCAAAGCGGACTTAAGCCTTGGACTTAAGACAGACTTAAGTAATGAGAACACCATTTTTGTCATTCTCAGGCAAACGGTCAAATTGCGTCTTTTCCTTATTTACTAAAGCAGTACATCTTGCTTTTGCGCTGCTAAAATGTAACTACAGCAGCACTACTGACAATTGCGTGCGTGGGCTCATGCAATATGTATTTTAAGGTGTTCCAATTAAAAAAAACAAAATAAGACAGGAGAAGGTGGAAATGAACACAAATACACTCAGCACCTGTTTTATCTCTGCAGACAGACCACTGCGACAGAGGGAACATGAAAAGCAGGTGTAAAATCTGCAGCACTGTTTTATCGGGCAATAAAGGGTGAGAGACTATAGCCGGGATGTAACAATGAGATACTGACAGGGAGAGAGAGCAGGAGAAAAACAAATTAAGAGGCATTACAAAGTTACTTTACCGGAGAGAACAGCTCTCAACGCAACCTGTTATTTTTTTACCTTACCTTTGTGTTACCTGTGGTTTCCTCCAGGTTATTTGTCCTGACTTTTAATGTTTCACAGCGGCTCCAGTTCAGTGTAATATGGTTTAAGCAGCCAGTCTTTCTTAAAGATGTATAATTTCCACATCAAAATGTCTATAAACACTATGTTCTATATGTAGTCGAGTTGTGTACTTACATTATCCAAATGTTTCCGACAATGTTCAAAATCAGAGAAATCTGTAACTTTATTCAGGTAACGCTGCGTTTCACCGGTCGCCTGTCGATGGCGTCATATCCCCTTTGTCCATGCGTCAGCGTTGTGGTTGTCTGCCAGAAGCTGACATACATTGACTGTTTATCCAGTTTACTTTTTGTACACATTTATGATACACATTGTTGATCTTTGTGGAAATGAGTCAGTTTTGGCTGAGCTAACATTAGCAGCAGCTCGGCTCACAGCCCCTAGAACATCCTTTGTCTGTCCACCAAACAGTGTTGCAGAAACACAGATTTTTAAATTAAACTGTTTAATTCAGTGTTTTTACTGGTTTTAATCAGCAGACTAGTTTGTGGATAATTCAGCTCCTGTTAAAAACCTCCTGATGAAAACTAAAGAAATCTTAACCAGGACAAGCTGACTGCAATGACAACAATGCTGGTGAAGACAACCACTCCCATGATCCCATGTTAATTCACAATGTCATCAAACTTAGTATTTTGTTATTGTTTTGATGTGAGAGACCCCTTAGCAGCAGAAATGACATGTTCTATATTTAGTGTAATAAGATTTAAGCCAGTGGTTGCCAACCGTTTGTCTTTTCTATCATTGAGTAAACGAGTGACATAGTTTATGTATATTTTTCATATTATATTCAATGCATAACAATTAAATGGTAAATTGACTGTATTTGTGTAGCGCTTTTCTAGTCTTCCGGCCACTCAAAGCACCTTTTACTCGGGGATCAAACCGCAGACCTTCTGATTAGTGGCTCTGTTGTGAGCCAATGAAGCTAAATACACACAATAACTGCAGAAGTTTTTGTAAAAATAAGCAGATTATATACTGCATTGCAACAATCTTAGTAGGCTTCTGTTTTTGGACAAATTCAGTGTTTTATTCTATCTGGTGCTTGGCCATTGTTCTATTAGCTCTTGGTTGTTTTCTAATGCAGGATGAGGCTGTTTATCAGAGAGTGAAGGCTCTGTGAATATAGCATGTGTTCAGGTCTTCAGAGTTTAGATCTTAAATAATAATCTAAACTTTTAAAATGATTTTTCCCCCCCAGAAATTAACAAAATGCTGAAATATAGGCCATATTGTGTATATTTTTAAGTTTTCTTACACCCCTAAAATTAAGAAGGACTTGCAACCTCCTGTGAAGCTTTGGCAACCCC